TATGGACCTGCTGAACAGATAAATACGAACTAGCTGTCACGGTTGGGGAATGTTCTTCCATTCGGGTGCTTCTCCCACTCACTGTTAATCATTTTCCGGCACTATGTTAACTCCTCAGTGGCTTGAATGAGTGGCTCATACTGGTAAGGCTTAAGAAACACCTTCCCTCGCCGAAGATAGGGATGGTAGTGAAGAAGAATCATCAGCCTTGTAAGACCTTGAAGTTGCAAAAGTGCTGTTCGATTCTGTCACTCTCCATATTTCCTGGTAGCTAACATTAACTATAAAGACACAGCAGCCCAGCTTGGACAGTTTCTCTCCCAGCCCCACCTCCAAATCTGATATTACTGCAGTGCCCCGCCCAAATTGCCCCGCCCATTTTTGAGCATTTCAGTTCAGCCAGGGATGGAGTTAGCTGAAAATTATGGGGTGTAGTTACGATCCTGACTGTTAAGGCCTGAATAGATGACTCCCCCTGTATATTGCATACATCTCCAAATCTGCTGGAGGTCAACCGTGGCTGACGCACTACCCTCTTGTGTTCTTCTCAGTGACACTTGATAATTCCATAGTGACCACTAAACTTTCCAAATGATTAAAATGATAACTGGGAACAAAATGTAGATGCTCTTGCAATGTATGGTCATTTAGTGGAAGCTATGGGAATAAGGGGGCTTCTGGATGTTTAGTAATTGTTACCACAAGTGGACACTGACATGAGAAAACAGAGCCCTGAAAGACTGGTCCAAATTTGGAGTCCACTAAAGTCATGTTGGATAGGCTGCACAAGATCTTACAGATTCCAGGGGTTGGTCTCATATCTCTTAAGCAGGCTCCAGCTGACAACATTGCAGGGCCAGGAAGGGGTCCTAAACACAGATGAAGTGTCACTCCTGCCAACTGACTGCTTAGGCTTTACAACAGTTGATACACAAAAAAATATTATTAAGAAGCTGTTTTATGTTTTCACCTCCAGAAGCAGACTACTGCAGTTTCTCACAAAAATACTCACTTGGGTATGCTCAATAGAGTGTTGACACAACTTCGTCCTGGTGCCCTTGGCTTCTACACCACAAGTTCATCTGTAGGTTCCGGATGAATCCCCTATAAGAAATGCATTTTTCATAAACAAAAAAGGCCTGCCAATTTATTAGACACATACACTAACAATTTTATAAAGGTTAACTTACCACTTTGTAGGCATACAATTACTGACTATCATTCTGTCTCTATAGCCCGTCCACAGCAGTGACACTGACAGTGTGTGTAAGTCTGGTTCGGTGTATTAGATATAATGCTGTTACTGTTTAAAAACTCAGTGTTCATCTAAAAAGGTGGACAGTAAGCTATGCCTGAATCAGTCATACCAGATTCACATACAGTACCGTGTATTAGTATGAATAGAGTGTGGAGAAGTAATGATACAATGGTCAGAGCTGTATATTAACTGTATATCAACAATGTGAACCTACTAACTTTAAACTATCAGGCAAAACTTTGCTGAAATATCATACATGGGTCCTTGGTCTGTGCCATTTTTGAAGAACACTGAAGGAATGGTTCGGCATAAAATATAATTTACACAATTTCCACTTACCTTAAACTCATTAACAGGTCTTTATTAATGAGTTGGATATGGTTTTATGATGTTTTAGGGATGTATTACAGAAAGGATTTACGTGATTATTGACTTCCAGCGACTGACAGCCACTTGGCCAAATTATGGCAAAGTGAGTCAAAAGTGAGCTTGATGACTGAGATCCGGTATGCCATTTTGAATCCACTGCTAGCGAAAGCTGGAAGTTGTTGTATACAGCTTTGACGAACACTTCTGGTAACCTGTTCAGCTGTGATAAAGCCTATTGAGAGAAGCAGTAATAATCCCAGACATTTATTTTCTACAATTAGCCATTTGCTCAATACTAAAGAACCCAGCTTGGCTCCCTCGATTGATGTTTGTTGTGATTTTCTTGATTTTTTTCAAACAAAGATACATAACATAAGGCAGAACATGATTAATAGTATAACTCAACAGCCCTCTCCATTGGATTTTGTTCCTGTAATGGTTCAAGATTCTTTATTTAGCGCTTTGTCTAAACTGAAGCCCTTGGCTTTCACTCTAGATCCTCTGCCAGCTTTATTATTGAAAATGTGTTTTCATGCGATTAGCCCTGTTGTAACTTGTATTATTAATAGTGTTGTATTGTATTGTATTAAAAATAGGTGTGGTACTATCACTTTTTAAAATGGCTATAGTGAAAGCTCTGCTAAAGAAACGTGGTCTTCACCCTTCTGTTTTATCTAACTATAGGCCATTTTATCTCCAACTTATCTTTTTTATCCAAAGTTTTAAAGAAGGTTATTACAGATTTCAAATACGATTGTAACAGCCAGTTACAATTGTATTTGGAATCTAACATGCTGTATGAAGAATTTCAGGCTGGATATTGTACATTTCATAGTACCAGGACAGCATTAGTTGGGGTGGTTAATGATCTTTTATTGGCCTTTGATACTATCAACCATGCTATTCTTTTGCAGTTCATGCAGACCATAGAAATTTTAGGTATTGTTTTAAATTGGCTTTAATTCCTATTTGACTGGGCGCAAGGAATGTGTAACCTTGGATGGGCATTCCTCATCTTTTAAGGTTATTACTTCAGGTGTCTCCCAGGGGTCAGTATTGGGTCCTACCCTATATTCATAAGCATAATAATTCTTTTCATTGCTTTGCTGATGAAACACAAGTTTACTTTCAAACACAACCAAGCTCACAGTTTGCCTCAACTCAGGCAACTAGGTGCCTGGAGGATATTCACAGTTGGATGACAAGAAATTTTTTGCATTTGAATAATACTAAAAGTTACGTTTTTCCCATAGGCACTTACGTAAGGCTGGAATTGACAATGTCGTAAATCGTCATTTGTTATCATTGTCATCATGTATGGGGAATATTGGGGATGTGCTTGACCCTACGTTATAATTTGATTTATATATTACCTCTGTTTGTAAAACTTACCACCTACGGAATATTGCGAGACTCAGGGCCTTTCTGACGCATGGTGATGCCGAGAAGCCGATGCATGCGTTTGTGACCTCACGGTTAGATTACTGTAATGCACTCCTGGCGGAATTTCCAAATTAGAGAACACAGAGATTATAGTATGTTCAGAATTGCACTGCATGTATTTTAACCAAATCTATAAAATTTTCCAACCTCGCTCCAGTTTTAAAGTCTTTGCACTGGTTACCCATTTGAGAGAGAATTAATTTCAATATTAATTTTGGTTTAAAATTGTTTACATATCCAAGCTCCAGTATATTTGCGTCATCAGTACTTCATATGCTCCATGGGTGACTGTGCTTTTAGTATATTGGGTCCACGATTATGGAAAAAACTTCCTGAGTCTCTAAGAAATTCTGGGTCTTTATCTCATTTTTAAAAAAAAGCATCTTAAGACTTTTCTTTTTAGATGCATTTTATATATTAATTTTTGTGTTTTAGGTAATTCTGGGTCTCTTAAGAAAAATCATAAGACTTTACTTATTAGACCTGTTTTCATGAACTAAATTTGCTTTGTCTTAGAAACACTGGATGTTTTAAGTAAAATCTTATGAATTTTCCTTTTAGATGTTTTTTTTTATGAATTTTGTTTTATTTTTCCATAAAGCACCTTGAGTTGACTGTGTCATGTAATATATAAATAAAGTTTATTATTATTTATTAAAACCATGTGAATCATTGACCCTCATTCACCAACCATTCTTAAGATGAAATTTCTTCTTAAAATCCACTTACGCAGATTCTGACATTCACCAATGTTTTTGTATTTGGAAGCTGCTCTTTGGTAAGAACAGAATCTATGCACATTTGAGCGCAAAAGTGCAAACAATTCTGTGGTTTAAGAACACATAAATCTGACGTTGACTTTTTCTGAGGACCTTTCTTTTGAACAAATTTAAGAAAAAACTTAGGAAGATGTTTGTGAATAAAGCCCATTGTTTTGTTGACACGTAAGTGACATGCTTTGCATGTGTCAGGGTCTGTATGTCTAGCTAGCAAATGATGTTCTGTCGTGGGTGACAGGATGGGGATGATTGCAACAAGTTCACACAACTGTATTTTTGAACATTTTTAGTTCAACGTAGGCACAATTTTTCTATTTTAGTGGTTATAATGAACAGAACAGGCAATATATTAAAAGACCACAAGATGATCAACTATGATCGGCTAATGATCAACAAAATAATTCTCAAAATAACTTGTTTGTAGTTTCTTATGTGTGTGTGTGGGGAGGGGGAGTGTAATACTTGTCTAAAAGTAGAAATTGTATTTTGTTTGTTTTCTGTATAATCAGGGATGAGGGCAGAACTGTCAGGGCAGGATTAATATTACTAAATAAATAAATAACACTAATATTTTTGTACAAATAAAAATATAGTGAAATTGTAAAACAATGCATATTTTCAGAATGCTGTGCTTATTGAAACAAAAAGCAAAAGTTAATTAGTGAAATTTAACATATTTTGAAAATTTTGCAACTGTCCCTGATCTATGTTGCAACTGTCCCAAGAGAGAGAGAGAAATGCAAAAAGTGTTCCCCTAGTGTCAGAAATGTCTTTTGCATGTTCTGTGGTCAGTTCATTTCATAGCAAATTCTATAAGGTGAATAGTGAACTATTCGAAACACAGTTTTAGGGTAACATTATATCAGTTCACTGGAAGGTGTAATTTGTCAGAAATTTTAAACACATGGTGCAGCTTCAAAAGTCCATGCAGCAAAAAATAGTTCATTATTTTGACAGAAATGTAGAAATACTTCATAAAACCAAAATTTACCAGACAGCACTTTGGCTCTAGGTATGGATTTGCCAGGGCTGTCTGGCAACAGGAGAACCACATTTGTGTAGTATCTCTAATAATTATGCACATTTTATTTTTCTTTATGTCTTTTGGTTCTTTTTTATGTGAATTTGAACTCTAGCTTCTGCTTCTTCAGGTGATAACCAGCCAAGTAGCCACTACCACTTCCAACAGCCACATCAGCATGGTTATGTCCACATTCACCAGACCAACATAAAGGCTTCTCCTCACTGTGCCACTATGGTAAGATCTCATTTTTACCTGTTTTCCCCAACAAGAATCAGGGACCATCAGTTAGCTAAATTCTGATTACTTTAGATTATGGCAGCATATTCTGGACAGTTTTTGTAGAGATGGACCAGTCAGTGTTTCTGGGGCTAATACCAATCAACTTTCAGCACGATTGGCCAATAGCAGATACCAGTTGAGGGTGGGGCTGCATGCCACATTCAATGGCAATGTTTGAACTCAACAGCAAAACAAATTCACCCAAGGGCACTTTTTTAGATCTATATAGCCATAAAACCCTTTGCAAATGTTGTACAAACAAAAAACAGCAAGCTGTCAAGACATTTACTACTGCAAAGCTAACCAGTTAGGATTAGCTACCATAAACATTAGCAAATGGGACAAAACAATACTGACCTATTGGTTCTTTGAAACAGCAAAAATAAGTTAATATTACCCACCTGTTGTGCAAAAACAGAGCAGCCACCTCATCCATTAGCATGCCTTTCAAGTCAGCTTTTTTGCCAGCTTCTTGTTCACATTTTGCCATTCCACTTTAAATGGTGCAGCAGTTACATTATGGCATCTCAGGCTAGCACAGCCATTGAAATAGCTGGTGCAGCTAACAGAACAATTTTTTAAATGGATTTTAAACGTAATAAAAAAAGGCTAACATACAATCACTTTTGCAGTTATGCGTCTTATTTTTATTTTCAGCCGAAGCTGTAGGTCATGAAACTAGTGTAGTGTAAGCTAAGCAAAAATTAGTGCTCGGGTGCTAACATGCTAACAGAAACTAATCCTAGCAGCTTTAACAACAAACTGCGTTAATTACAGCTCTGCATGGTCACACAGTGAGTTTACGGCAAAATAGGAGCCAAATACAATATATTCTTCAGGAAAAAAAGTTTTTCTTAAGTGAAATAGATAAGACAAGGTTTTCTATTTGCCAGTTTCTTGTTCGGCCATTCCACTTCAAATGGTACAGCAGTTACATTCTGGCGCCTCAGGTGAAATATGGCTCATATATTTTACGTGACTGATCAGCTCTTAGGATAGGTTAAGTTAGAGAGATACTGGCCGCTCGCATATTTGGGCTGAAAATTGGCCGATACGATACACAGCCGAATAATCCTTGCACCTCTACTTTTTTCATATTCAAATGCCAATTTGAAAATGCAAATTTTTTTAGAGTGGTTATGTAGTGTGAATGTTGGTAGTCCTTTGGTCTTTTGGATTAAACAGTTTTTGAGGGAACAGTCCCAGCCAGTTTGCATTAACAATGTCTTTTGTGGTTGGCTTGTTCTGAATACTGGTTTACCTCAAGTCTGTATTTTGCCCCCTCTGTTGTTCTCTACATACACACGAACAAGCTGCAGTCTAACAGCCTTGATTGTTCTTTTATTAAGTATGTAGATTATATAGGCCCTTATTTCTAGTCAGCAGGATGAATCTCTGTATCAATAGTCTTGTCTCCTAGTTTGACAATAGCTTCCTGGATCTTAATATCACCAGGGAGCTGTGTATAGGAGACAAAAGGAAAAAGGGCAGTTCAGGTCTTGCATACCACCAGTCAGTGTAAAGGGTAAGGAACTGGAGCAGGTCACTCATTTCAAAAACTTAGGCAACAAAAATTTATGAGCTCACTTTGGAGGATAACATGAACTATATAGAAAAAAAAGCAAGACAGCGGCTTTCTCTTCTCAGAAAGTTAAAAGGTTTACATCAGTAAACCTACTCTGACCATGGTCTATAGATAAGAAATTCTGACATTTAATATTGTATCATGATATGGAATGTGAAGCAGAAAATTAAACTGTCATAAGAATGTGCATTTGCATTTACATATATAATGGCTGGAAAAAGTTAATAGGAAAAATCAAAATGCTTTTGATATTTCATTTTCATTGCCTCAATGGTCTGACTCTGACATATTAAAAATGAAATAACAATTGCTGATTTGCAATTGCATTTCCTCATCATCATGCTCCAGCTCTGCCAAAATTAAAATGTTAAAATTTTGCAGCCCTGCTTGCAGTTGCATTTTCACTGTGAATGAGGCACTTCTGTCAATCAAACGCGGAGGGACCTCTGGAAGGACTTTTCAGTGCAGGCATGTTTTGAGAGGAAGTCAAAGTCTAAACTTTGTCTAAACTGCTGCTAGTGACATTTTAACACTGGCTGACCTGTGTTAAAATGTCCGGGGATAAATCTCAAAGTGATTTCCTGTTTCATGTGACAGTGATTGTTAACCATGTAGCAGATGATTGCCACTTAATTCACTTATTTCATATTTACCATAAGCATAACTTACTTTTAGTTTCAACTCAGGCTGGGATCTTCCTGTGGCCAGAGGCTGTTTAGCAGGATGTGATAATTACACAACAAACAAATGATAAGGTTAATATGATGCTAGATGATGGAAAAGATTAATAAGTATGCTTAGAGAAATCAGACACAACATTAACCTAATGAAAATACTGTGGGAAATTGAGCAGTATCAACAGAATGTGCAATATAGAAGCTAGTGTTATGACTGATCTAGGTTTTAAAACAAAAACAAAAAACAAACAAAAAAAGGGGCAGAATAACACAGCACTGAGAATAAATCATATAATAGAAGTGATGGTACGTTACTGCTTTGAAGCTTAGAAGGAGAGCTGCTGATCTCTCTATGCTGATGACCTGGGTCCCTGTTTGCAGCGGGACCTTCAGAGAATTAACCCAAAATGCACCTGAGCTTAGGGCCTGGATGTGCACGGTGGACTCAGCTAGTTGGTCAGTCTCTCTTGAAGACTGAAGATTCTTTTGCAGTGGCTGGGGACAGTAAGTCATGGTTTAAGAATGGCTACTGAAGCAAACTTATGTGATGGCTTTGCAGGTCAGTGCTGGCTTATTTCTGTCCATCATTCCTAAAATATGCTCGTAGGACATCTTGCAATGAACTGTCATTGGCCAATAAAAACGTACACATTGAATCGACAAAACTTGAAAACAGATGCAGTTCAGCTAGGCTGTTTAAGTGCAGAAGAGCAACATCAGGTTGAATAATTTACACCACTCTTTCTTTCAGGTTACTGTTTGAACATAAAGAAAGAAACAAAACTGAACAACAAACTGAAACACAAAAATAAAAACAAAATCTGCAGATTTATCATTCCGGGGGGACCCTGAGCCACTTCCAGGCCAATTTGGAGATATAATCCCTCCAGCAGGTCCTAGGACGACCGCGGGGTCTCATCCTAGTAGGCCTAGTAAACCCCCACCAAGAGGTGTCCAGGGGGCATTCTGATCAGATGCCTGAACCACCTCAACTGGCTCCTCTCAGTGCAGAGAAGTAGTGGCCCTACTCTGAGCTCGTCCTGGATGACCGAGCTCCTCACCCTATCAAGTAGAGTGTAGTACTGCAAAGAAAGCATATTTCTGCCACTTGTATTTGCAATCTCATTCTTTCAGACACTACCCACAGCTCATGACCATTGGTGAGGGTCGGGAGGTAGACTGACAGGTAAACAGAGAGCTTTGCCTTATGACTCAGCTCCCTCTTCACCACTACAGTCCAGTACAGTCACTGCATTACAGCTGCTGCTTCCGGCCGATCTCACGATCCCTGTTCCTATCACTTGAGAACAAGACCCTGAGATACCTGAACTCCTCCACCTGGGGCAGGTCCTTTCCCCTTACCTGGAGTAGGCATGCCATCCTTTTCCAGGATAGGACCATGAGCTTGGAGGTGCTGATCCGCATACTAACTGCTTCACACTCAGCTGTAAACCGCTCCAGTGAGTGCTGGAGGCTGGAGCATAATGCCCTCCTGACCTTGGCTATGCCTTGACACCCTGTCCATGAATAAATAGAATATCACAAATAGGAGTGGGGCCAAGGCACAACCTTGGCGGAGTCCAACACTACCACTGGATGAGATTGACTTAATGCTGAGTATACAGACACAATTCTCACTCCAGGAGTACAGAGATTGAATGGCCCAGAGTAGTAGCCTTGGCACCCCATACTCCCAGAGGACCTCCCACAAGATATCTCGGGAAACATGGTTGTAAGCCCTCTACAAGTCCAGGAAACCGCATTGTTCCTCCTCAGTCTGAGGTTCGACTATCGGCTAGAGTCTTCTTTCCAGCACCTTGGCATAAAATTTCCCAGAGCGGCTGAGCAGTGTGATACCCTGGTAGTTGGCACACACTCTCTGGTCCCTTTTCTTAAAAATAGGGACCACCACCCCAGTCTGCCAGTCCAAGGGTACTGTTCCCAAGGTCCATGCAACATTGCAGAGGCGTGTCAGCCATGACAGCCCCACAACATCCAGAGCCTTAAGCATTTCTGGGTGAATATCATCCACCCCTGGTGCCTTGCCACTGAGGAGCTTGCCAACTACCTCAGTGACCTCCACCAGGGAAATGGAGCCTGACACACCAGAAGCCTCTGGCCCTGACTCCTGTAATGCTCCTGGAGTGCTCCTTCCACTTTCTCATTTAAAGTCAGAGTTTCTCCACCCCTGCCGAATACAGCTTGGGCAAAGCCACCTCGACCGCTCCTGAGTCACCGGATAGTTGTCCAGAACCTCCTTAAAGCCTACTGAAAGTCTTTTTCCATGGCCTTCTCAAACTCCTTTCATACCCTGGAGTTTGCTTGTCCCACTGCTGCCGCTTTTTTTGCCTGTCGGTACCTATCTCTGAGTCAGGAGTCTTCCGGGCCATCCACTCCCTAAAGGCCTTCCTTCAGCTTGATGACCTCCATTCATCACCGGTGTCCACCACTGGGTTCTTGGGTTACTGCCATGACAGGCACCAACAAGCTTTTGGCAATAGCTGCACCTGGCAGCTTCCACAATGGAAGTTTTCAGCAGGGTCCCTTCAGACTCCATGTCCCCTGTCTCCTCTGGAACATGAGAAAAGCTCTCCCGGAGGTGGGACTTAAAATCATTCCAAACAGGGGCCTCTGCCAGACGTTCCCAGCACACCCTCACTATTCCCTTGGGCCTACCAGGTCTGACCATTAGT